GTATTCCTTAAGATGTACCACCCATTAAAAAAAAGCAGAGGTATATAATCATGTCATCTGCAAATAGAGACAATTTGACCCCATTGTCTTAGCCCAAAATCTCCTTAAGATGATAAGCAACTTCATCAATGTGCAAAAATCACAGACATTCCTATACACTAATAACAGACAAACAGAGCCAAATCATGAATCAACTGCCATTCTTAATTCCTACAAGGAGAATAAAATACCTAGGAATACAGACCATTGCTCAAGGAAATAAGAGAGAACACAAACAGGCAGAAAAACATTCATGCTCATGGTTGGGAAGAATCAATATTGTGAAAATGGCAATATTGCCCAAAGTAATTTATAGAATCAGTGCTATCCCCATCAAGCTACCATCGACTTTCTTCACAGAATTGGAAAAAAAACACCTTAAACTTCATATGGAACCAAAAAAAGAGCCCACATAGCCAAGACAATCCTAAGCAAAAAACAAAAAACCAAAGCTGGAGGCATCACACTACCTGACTTGAAACTATACTACAAGGCTACAGTAATCAAAACAGCATGGTACAGGTACCAAAACAGAAATATAGACCAATGGAACAGAACAGAGGCCTCAGAAATAACACCACACATCTACAACCATCTGACCTTTGACAAACCTGACAAAAACAAGCAATGGGGAAAGGTTCCCTATTTAATAAATGGTGTTGAGAAAACTGGCTAGCCATATGCAGAAAGTGGAAACTGGATCCCTTCCTTACACCATATACAAAAATTAACTCCAGATGGATTAAAGAGTTAAGACCTAACACCATAAAAACGCTAGAAGAAAACCTAGGCAGTACCATTCAGGACATAGGCATGAGCAAAGACTTCATGACTCAGATATCAAAAGCAATGGCAACAAAAGCCAAAATAGACAAATGGGATCTAATTAAACTTAAGAGCTTATGCACAGCAAAAGAAACAATCATTAGAGTGAACCGGCAACCAACTGAATGGGAAAAAATTTTGCAAGGTACCCATCTGACAAAGGGCTAATATCCAAAATCTACAAAGAACTGAAATAAATTTACAAGAAAAAAAGAAAGAAAATCCATCAAAAAATGGGCGAAGGATATGAACAGACACTTCTCAAAAGAAGACATCTACATAGCCAACAAACATGAAAAAAAGCTCATCACTGGTCATTACAGAAATGCAAATCAAAACCACAATGAGATACCATCTCACATTAGTTAGAATGGCGATTATTAAAAAACCAGGAGACAATAGATTCTGAGAAGGATGTGGATAAATAGGAACACTTTTAAACTGTTGGTGGGAGTGTAAATTAGTTCAATTGTTGTGGAAGACAGTGTGGTGATTCCTCAAGGATCTAGAACTAGAAATACCATTTGACCCAGCAATCCCATTACTAGGTATATATCCAAAGGATTATAAATCATTCTATATAAAGACACATGCACACGTATGTTTATTGTGGCACTGTTCACAATAGCAAAAACTTGGAACCAACCTAAATGCCCATCAATGATAGACTGGATAAAGAAAATGTGGCACATATACACCATGGAATACTATGCAGCCATAAAAAAGGATGAGTTCATGTCCTTTGGAGGGACATGGAGAAAGCTGGAAACCATCATTCTCAGCAAACTGACACAAGAGCAGAAAACCAAACACCACGTTTTCACTCATAAGTGGGTACTGAACAATGAGAACACATGGACACAAGGAGAGGAACATCACACTCTGGGGCCTGTCAAGGAGTGGGGGACTAGGGGAGGGATAACATTAGGAGAAATATCTAATGTAGATGATGGGGTGATAGATTCAGCAAACCACCATGTCACATGTATAACTATATAAGAAACCTACACGTTCTGCACATGTACCCCAGAACTTAAAGTATAATGAAAAAAAAAAAAAAGTAAACCAATATGGGATTTAAATATTTTCTCTAGCTTGACCATTTGAAGTAAAAAAAAAAAAAAAAAAAAAAAGTCATTTTAAAAAGTGTACACTTAGAAATTAATTACCCCACCAGTGCCCAGTGCAGTTGGTAAAATCTGTATCTGCTTATCCAGGTAGATTGACTTTCTGGCACCCATCATCATTTGAAGCTTTATGAATAAATGAATGTCAAAATTGGGTCCTCAGTTTAAAAAACTGAGAACTATGTATTCCTAATTTTAGAACTGATTGGGCCTTAAAAACATTATGTATTGTCTTTGCTGTGAACTTTAAGAGATGCTAAAATGTCTGAGCTTTTCAGCAAATTCACAAAGGAGCAAGTGATGTTGAGAACAGAGCTTTATTAAATCAGAAATGAAGCTTAAGTACTATATAGGTATGTAGGATCCAGTTTGTTGGGAAGTGCAATTGTGTTATTGATTAATCTGTAATTTTCAACAGTGGGTGGAGGTCCTGGCTGTTTCTGGTCAAAGCCTGGATTTTACTAACTAGGAGTGTCTGTGAAGATACAAAACTAGGAATCATTCATAGGGTCTGACAGAAGAAAGAGAGTGGGATACAAAGTATTCCATGAGAATGTGGCCTCTGGAAGGCCCTCACACCAAGCTGTGTTTAAATTTAGTTTCAACATTTGCAACATAAATAGAGAGAAATTTACAGTTGACACAAATATGAGTTGTCTTCATCCATCTTCCTGTAAAGTTGCTTACTCTGGAAAGCATGCCAAAGTGGGGACGTTCCCATAATTGCCTTACATAGACAACGTACATCCTGTGTACATCAAAAGAAAAAAGTAGTGACTCAAGATAGAGGACCCTAGGGAATATGTTTATGGAAACTGCTCTTCACTAATTACACATGCTTGTTTGTTCTTTATTTTAGAATTAAAATAGGAAGACCTCATCATAGAAATCTGGGTCAACTCAGAACTTTGGTTTTCTCATTAGATGTGGGTCCTTGAGGGTCTGTGATATTAAATAAGCCTGCAATCTTTTGTTTGCCAAATGGTGATAAATCATCTGTGAAGGTGAATTGATCTTTGAAAAGTGACCTTTTTCATACTAATAACAACTATTTCATATTGCCCAGTCTGAAAAGATTAAAACTGGGTTATTTATCAGGTGAACTCAGCTAAGACTTAGTCTTCCTGCAAGCCAAAACCTCCTTTCTCAAACAAGGCTCACTTCAACACTGTACCTTTAGAAGGAATGCAGCTTTACTCCTGGTCCATTTAACTCCATCTAAAACCATTCCCTGTGCTTTAAATAATATATTATGTTAAAGATTGTTACTTGGTTGTAGCATTTAACATATCAAGGTCAAGAAGCTAAGAGTATTACTTTGGCGTAAGCCTCTGTAAGGCAGCCGTGGTGGTAGGAGCTGTTTCAAAGACTGAGGCTCCCCTGCCTGTGGTTGTGGGAAGACACCCTGTGCATTCCTGCAAGTTATTTGTGGCTCTCTGAGGAACTCATTGAACACTGTTCTGTAGCACACAATTTTAGGAAGTAGAGTTGGAATTTTCTAGTCCTCGTTAGAACGTGTGCTTCAATCCAGACGTGTTCTACAACACAAAAAGTCCCCTGGTCAAGAGCAAGCTCGCAGAAAGAACACTGAGGAATGATGCTTGGAACGTGCCACTGTTTTGTCCTCCCTGATACACTGATCGGGAGTGAACTGCGTAGCAGCGTAACTAACCGAAGAAATTTCAGCCAGGGCGCCAAAGCCTGACAAGCATAGTAAATCTTCTTAAGCAGGATATTCGGAGAGAGAGTTTTCAAGTTAATTGAATTTTATGATTAACAGAAGGTTATCTGGAAAACTGTATTCATTTCACCTCATGTTGATGGAAGTCTTTCTAAAAGGGTTAAGTCTACTTTCCATTTGTAGTATAATTATAAATGTGGTTTAATTCTTAAGATGAAGATTTCACTGCCTCCATAGCATTATCTTGATCATAAAAGGTTATTCTATATTTCCTAAAATACGGCTGTGGCTGTTCAAGGTTAATTCCTTGGGCTAGAAGTATACAGACTGCAGAACTGCTTCAGAGTTATTAGCCTAAGGGGGGATAAATCCCTAATATGAAATTTTATGATTTTCTTTTTCTGAAAACAGATTATAGAAAAATTCCATCTGATTGAAGGTTATGAATTCTCTGGATGTGACTGTTACGAGTTTAAATGATGAAAAATGTGCCAGCAAAAGAGAAATTTTATTCCTAAGTCCTGAATTTTAGTTCTGCTCCACTCTGGGTCTTAAAATGAGATTCAGGATGTTACAGAGACCCTGTGTGGTCCCGGTCTTCCAACTCTGAAATGCAAAATATATCTCTTGGAATGAAAAGCATGCAATTTTTCTTTCTTTATTGGAATGTACTGTATTATTTATTGCACTTAGAATCCGTTTTCCCATTTTCTTTTATGGGAGTATTTTATCCCACCGTGCATATCCATGTGTACATCTGTATGTACAGGTACGTCTGTAAAATTAGATTTGCATTTTTGATACTGTCTACAACATGCACAACTATACAGAACTCATTTGAGATGATAATATTTTAGTGGGGAGGAGAGGCCTCTGCTAGTGTCTGTTCCAATAGCTTTTCACTCAGACTATAAATTAGGCCCGGGGAGGGCCAATAATGAGTCAGTAATTTATAGACTATTAAGATACTTGTTAGAAGTGATTCCTGAGCATGTCGAATAGAGAACACATGTTTATAAAAGACAAACAGATTCAATATATCTCTTTGGCCTAACCAAGCCCAACCAGTTCACAAAATGGGATGTCTTATTTTGTGTATCCTCTACTTCTCAAAAATAGAATCACTAACCACTTGTTAACCACACTGACTTTTTAATAGACAGAATGGTTGCTATAGTTTCGCCACCAGAAATGTTCAGATTAAGCATTCTATTAGAGCGTAGCCAGCAGAGTCTACAAAACAGGAAGGCGGCTCTGCTTGCTTTTTGCCTCCTTTCCTTGTGTGAATCGATGTGATAATTCATTGCAGATTTCTTTTTCTTTGATAGAATGCCTACCGCAGGAATGGGATGGCCTTTCTAGCCTGCTGATGTGACAACCGTGATGTGCCTGCAGCAACAGGAAAGGCGATGTTATATTAAGGTGATTTCTTGAAAACAAAATAAAATACAAATTTACCTTTCTCCCCACCGAGGGAGTGGGCTGGTTTGTTGTGACTATCAACTTGCTGACTCCTGCTCTTTTCCAGCCCCCTCAACCATCAGTCTTGTTTACTAGATGTGCTGTTCAGCTAATTAATGGCAGGATGTTTGGGATAGGGTGTAGGTGGACAAGAATGCAGATCCCACAATTCTGAAATTTTCATTTCAGTGGATTTACTGCCCTCAGCTCACATATCTTAAAAGTAGTGGTTGTCCCCCCACTCCAGTGTTTTGTCTGTATTTTATCTGCTACATTTTACGATTTAAGTTTAGAACAAGGAAACAGAAGGACAGTGAGTTTTCACCTTCCCTTACACCGCCAACTTGACTTTCCAACATTTGTGGACTACGTGTGTTTCAGTGACAGCTATCCACTTGATAAACTTACAGGAGTCGGGTATCTAACAGACCTGATAAATCACCTGTTCCCATCCCCTCTCCCCTTCACTCCACTTACCGTATGAGTCATTTTCAGTGCCTTCTTCCCAACTCCTGCCATCCGCCTTTTATGTGTGTTTTTCCTCACACAGAACGTCTTACCCCATCTTTGTTCCCCTCCTTTTCCTGTTCCTCCAATCCCCAGACCTACTACTCCTGCACGTTTCATACACATTTAGAAGCCACGTATTCAGAATTAGTAGAAGGAGAACAGAGTCATTTCTTGCTTCCCCTCTTCAAAGCACTACCACACCTAGACTGGAAATGTGGGCTTGGTAATTTCTTGCTGTTAGCAGCTGAGCTACCCTTCTGGCTTCTATACTTTTTCCAGTATGAGGAATCGTAATTCTTTGGAACAAACCAAAATACAGCAGATGTAATCGTGCAGTTCCTGATTAATTTTACTTTTATCATGGTTTTTACACATACTTGAAACAGTCTTTGTAAAGAATAAAAACAGAAATGAAAAATGTGAAAGATTATGCCACATTATTTACATTTGTTAATTGTCATTTACCTGTTCTGTGTTAATCTTTTTAGAAGATATTTGCATGTCAGAAACAAAAAGCACAGATAAATAATATCAAAATATTTCCAAAGGGTTTTGATGTTCCATCTATCCTTGTTAAAATGTATGATTAAACTTTTCTTTTCATCATCATTCTTATTTTCCTTGGCATCCATAAGCATGTAAGATTATAAGCTTGCAGTAAGCATCCTAACTTTAAAATGATAGCATTTATCGTATTTGGTTTTGATCTGCCAGACTTACACATGGTATAAAATTTTCAGGGGCACATTTTTCACATTGAAATTTCTTCTCTCCCACATTATACATTTTAAAGTATGCATGAGGCAGAAAATACAGGGTTTGGGTTTTTTCCTTCATTTTATTCTACCTGATCTCCTTATAGTCCCAGAGAAGGAAGACTCAACGTACATTTCTCTCAGAAATATGACAGGTCTGTGTTTTTGTTGGTCTGGCGTATGTTTGTCTATCTTGAACAGTCTGACAGGTAATTATTTATAAAATCTGGTTTTGTCCAGTAAGTTCATATAACTTTTCATTTTTCATCATAAGCCAGTAAGCTGAATTTAGAATAAAGCAAGGTCATTTATGTCTGTCCTGAACCAGCCTACATGTCCCCACAATTGCTCAATATTTTTAATTCTTTTTTCTTAGGTTCTTTCTCTGACTCTTTGCACAGTACTAAATTTGCAGTGAAATAAAATTTCCTCACCAGTGACTATAGAAATAAAAGAAAACTTAACAGAAGGAACATTTAGGAAAATGTGCTTCAGTAAATGATTTTCTCAATAATCATAATGTTAAAGCAGAAAATTGTCTTAGAGATCATAGAGAACAGCTGCTTATCTTACAGATGAAAAACCACGGCCTAGAGAGGGAAAGTGACTTTCCTAAGATCACTCAATAATGGTAGTGACAGACCAGAGATGAGAATCGATGGTCCCTGACTTTCAGTCTGGTGTTATACAGTATTTTCTACTATGCTGGGTTAGCATAAGACGACGACTAAGACATGTTGGGGCTTGCTGGCATATTTATCCTAGACAGCAAAGTAAATTTATTGAAAACTACATGAATTATGAATACATCCTAAAGCTTAAGTGTTGTATAGTAAAATCTCAATGGGACTGTGGTAGTAAGTAAACAATCTGTTATCTTACACATCAGGGTCAACTGTAATTCAAATGGGAATATACAAAGCTAGTTTCCTATTTTTCTCCCTTGCATTTTAGAGACTGAATTTGAAAATAAGCCAATAAATAGCGTCTCTTGATACTGCTTCCTACATTTAAGGGTAAGGAAAGTAGAAATATTTCTCCCTTCACCTAAATTTGATAGTGTGACTTTCTGAACGTGCCATTTAGAGGTTATGTCATTAGCTTTCCTGCCTTCTTATATTGTAATAGTTGTGATTCAAAAATACTATTTCAATTTTAAAACCAAGACTTATCTGAAAACCATCAGAAGCACAAATATATTTTAAATAGCGTATATAATTCCTGTAACTGAGGAGAAACCTTCATTTATTGCTGTTCTTAGTTTTTATAAAATAATAAACAAGCCATGCCTAATGCTTTTACCATGTAGAAGACAAATAAACATAACTGGTGATTCTTGGTCTAAAAAACCACATTTACTTGTTTAGAATTTTAAAGTTTAATTTTATGAATTTTTTTACATAGCTCTCAAATCAAGCATTGCTTTCCAGTTCATATAACCTCTCGTGTAAAACTGAATCACTAAAGAGAACATATTCTCTCATCTGTGCCCCTGGAATTTAGATAGAACCTTCCCAAGCTACATTTAAAATTCTACCATCAACCATGTATACATCTCATAAAATATTTTACAGTTTCCTGTATGCTCTGGCCGAACATTTCATAGTACATAAACACTTCTGCAAATAATCTAAGGGCATCAAGTTGAATATGTCATAGCTACGGCCACTACATAAAGCTAATTCACCAGCAGCATATTTTCTTATTTTTATCTTCTTATTTGAAATTCAAGCTGAAACTTTATGTGCCATTGTTGTGCAGTGGCAGGGATGAGAAGAGAGCAGGGAACTCTAGCAGTTTTTGTGGAATTGTGTTCATTAAAGCAAAGGCTTTCTGCAGAGGGCATCTAGCCAAGCTTAAACAACAAAACTATGCCTGCAGGAATTGGATGTAAATGTGATGGTTAAATAAGGGCCAGATGTCGTTAAAAACTCTAATATTAGAAAGTCATATCTCTTAAAGTAAGTCTCAAGTGTTGTAAGTCGGATACTGATACCATAGTACCTAAAGAAAGAGACTTGTATTTGTTTTCCAGAGCAAAATATTAAGTATTCAAGCTGTCATTAAGTCATGGAAGTTTTGGCAATTGAAGCGTATTTTAAAGCAATCAATTCCTACAAAGTCACAAGAACGCCAAATACATATGTCCTTGTTGGGAGCCACTGTAATTCTCTGCACAGCATGGGGTCCATGATCTCTTTTCTGCTCATCTCCACCCAATATTCATTATTCTCATTTTTTTCAAAGGAGAGTAAAGATAGGGGGGAAAAAAAAGGCAAGGCTCAAGATGATCAAAATATAGTTTTACTTACACCAGGTAATGCTCTACTTGCTATCAAAAATGATATATTGTGTCAGCATTTTAATAAGTTATGACATAATTACAGCACACCATTTGCTACCCTGTGTACTAAGCAGTTTGTGTGATTTATCTCATTTAATACTCGCAGCCCCACTATGAGATATGCCTTATTGCCCACAGGCAAAAAGAGGAAACAGGAACAGCAGATTAAGTGTCAGATGCAGAATTACCCAAGGTAGAGCTGGCATTTGTATGAGCACTCTGATCCCAAAGCTCATGCTGTTAACCACTGTTACACCACATGGACTGTACTGGAATAGAGATTTCTGATCGCATATTGACGGGAATTGCTGCCTGACCTGGAACCTAGAAGCACTTCTCAGAACCAGAAAATTTGATTGCAAGAAAATTTTAAGTTAACATTCCTTCTCTAATGCCAAGTATTATGTATGTAATAGAATATATAATATATAATAGAATATAATTACATATAATTATGCCAAGTTTTAATGTCTTAAACCTTAAGATAAATGTATATATATAATCAATGAGTATACTAAAAGTCCCTATACAAATTATGAGAAAAATTTCACCAAAGATCCATGTAGACAAAGCTGTTCTCCTTTCTGAAGACCAGATTTCCCCAGAAGGCTCTATTTACACAGGCTACTATTTCATGCTTTCATACAAGGTATTTATCCCTATTATAAAAATAATTCCCATCTTTTTTACCTGTGTTAGCAGATACAGAAGTACATATGGCAATGCCCTGAAACTTTATATTAATGACCCTTTTAAGGTTTGTTCATTAATTGATTAATTATATAGTAGTCATAGTTCTTCCCAGCCTGACATGTTTGTGTGTGAGGGGGGTCTGGGGAGAAGTGGTGTATGGAGATAAATAAGAAAGTGGAAAAAAAGCTACTGAGCACAATTTGAATTACAAAGGATAGTTTTCCATTCGATTCAGTAGTTAGCAGGAGCTTTTTTTAATAGACAGAGTCAGGGCCTCTCTTTGTTGCCCAGGCTGATCTCAAACTCCTGGACTCAAGTGATCTTCCCACCTTGGCCTCCCAAAATGCTGGGATTACAGGCATGAGCCACCGCACCCAGCCAGCAGCTTCTTTAATTCAACGCTAGGTTTGTTCTGCCTCAGAACAAGACACCTTATGATTGACGTCCTTTAAGATTCCAAATAACTGCCCCAGCCTGTGGTACAACTTTCTCTTCTGAATTTTTTTTTAAGATGGGGTCTCCCTATATTACTCAGGCTGGTCTCCAACTCCTGGGTTCAGGCAATCCTCCCACCCAGCCTCCTGATTAGCTGGGATTACAGGCATAAGCCACCGCACCCAGCTGTTTCTGAATGGTTTTGATTGTGTCTTCCCACTCCTTCACTTGGAGAACTTAGTTCACTGCCAGTGCATTGGCCACTTCTTGTCACCCCTCCCCGACCTCAGCATACCAATCGGTCAAGCAAACAGACATGAAGCAACAGCTACTGCAGCTGATGGGTGGGCTTGCCACACTTCCACAGGTTTGGCCTGTAGGGAGACAGTGAGCTCGAATAGCTTCAGACAGTTGGTTACACAGCTACGTAAGCAAGATTGGCACAGTGTCAGCTTCTCATGTTCCTAATCTCACAGGAAGATGCCAAGCTAGAGGGGCCAGTTGACAGAATACCTGAGTGAGTAGGGAGTTACCGTGTCATGGAGGAGCCAACTCTAAAGCACAGCCAAGCAGTTTCATAGCTTGCATTCACATCCCAAAGGGGCTGGAGGTGGAAAGACCCTTGCCCTACCAGAACTAGGGAGGCAGATGGGAAACTAGCTGTGGCAGCTCCTCATAAGAGTGGCTGTTTTGCTGCGTTCCTGTGATGATCACAGATGAAGGTCCACACGGCCTGCGCATGGCCCATGTGGCCTCTGTGGAGATGAGGTCTCCTGGGAGGCCTTCCACAGCAATGCATAGAATGTCGTGTGTTTTTGTTAGCAGTATGCAAAATCACTCTCCCTCTTCCTCCCTAGGTTTTCATGGTGGTCTCCTTCTCTAGGTCTTTGCCATAAAGTTTCCTGCCTGTCTCAGCACACAGCACCCTTTGCCTCCCCTGAACTCTTTAAGCTCTTGCTGTTCTCTCTGCTTCCAATTTAGTGTCCCTGATCATCTCTCCATGTGCCTTTAGACTGTACCAGATTGAGAATTTCTTGAGGGCAAGTCTTGAATTGACACCTCTTTGTCGTTCTCACATACACAGATACTCATAAACATTTGTGGTTAGTTGATAGAAAAAAAAAGATTTGTTTTTTTTTTAAACGGAGTCTGACTCTATTGCCCAGGATAAAGTCCAGTGGCACAAT